TTTTTTTTTTTTGTTTAATCTTGTTTGTCGTCGATGGCCTCGGCGTTCGATCAGTGGGAGAAGGACCCTTTCTTTTATGCTGCAGAGGAGGTCCAGGAATCGGCTGACAGGTATCGGATTTCTCTTGGATTGCAGTTTTGTTTTGTTCCGTTAAGGGGAATTACTTTGTTTGTTTCAATTCTGTAGATTGGAATCGGTTTACCGGCGATGGATGCACGAGAAGAAGGGAATCGAGCTGCGGAGGGAAGTTCATATAGCCCTAGGGACCACGAAATGGCAGGTTGGTTGTTGCTTAATTTTTACCCCTTTTCTTCCTATTTATTTATTTATTTATTGAGCGAGGGTGGTCTCTGATTTTGCGAAGCTCGAGGAGTTGGAAAGAGCGGTGAGGCGAGACGATGAGGCAGTCTTAGCTCGCAAAGCTACTGTAAATCGACATAACGCTTTTGTTGAGGCGATTTCTTATCGGATTGAGATGGTGGAGAAGGCTTTGAAGGAATCAAATGTGGCGGAAGAGGGGGAGACTGAGTTGACGTGGACAAGGCTGGATGAAGGGGAAAGGGATGAGCTTGCCCTTTTCCTGTCTCCTCCGCGTTCTGAAGGAGATGAGGCATCACTGATCCAATCAGACGTTGAACAGGAAGTAAGAAGCCGGATGGATGGAGAAACTTCTGCTGGTTTGAAGAATCCTTCTTATCAATGTAAACTAAGGGAGGAAGATAACGGCAGGATTGCTAACGGGAGCGCTGAAGTAGGTTTATTGGTGGTGGATTCTGCTTCGACAGAGGAATCTTCTTTGAGACTATCAGACGAGCAGTCTAACTTTCCTCCTCCGAAGTTCTTACGTCTCTTTGAGCTGAAAGCTGCTGAGTCATCTTCTAACCCTAAAAGATGGTATAGGAATGGTTTCAGGAAGTGGAAACATTTGAATCAAAATGATATGGAAGAATCCTTGCCACTGCGGAATCATCATTTGAGTCGGGTAATTGATTTCTTCTTACTCTAAAACAAGTTTTATCCCTTTTTTTTTTCCTTGTAGATTTGTGATGATAATGATTGCCTGTGATTTATTTAGGGCATGAATGAATGCTATGAGAGGAGCAAGAGTTGTCTTAGTGATTGTACAGATGAGTCTTACCATAAAAATCACCATTATTGGTTTGGAGCTTTTCAAAGGCAGCTTCAGAGGTCTCAATACCAAATCCAATATGGTCGACCTGTTCAGTTGATGATTTGGATTGCTGTTACTGTTCTACTTCTCTGTGAGTTCTTTTTGTTCCTTTCCTGTAAATCTACTCCTTATCTTTTGTTTATCTTTTTTTTTGGGGGGGCGGGGTGAGATTAGCTGGATCTGCTTCACATGTTAAGATTCCCAAAATCTGAAATTTGGTCAAAATGAATTTAATTTAGACCAAGTTCCTGAACCACTTAATTTCTATTTATTTACGTATCTTACATCTAAATTTCATTTTGACATATATGCCATCTTACATATGTTTGAAAAGTGGTATTTTTATGTGATATGAAAGAATTGGATGGTATAAATGTTAAAAGTAAAGTTTAGGTGTTGATTTGTAATTTCACATGAATTTAGTGTTATCCATGTAAATACTCCTTTTTCCTATGGCAGCGCATTTGTTATTTTAAAAAAATGAGACTTTGTTAGGCATGCTGTGGGATTAAAAGTTTGCAACATTGATGGAGAGGGAGAGCAGGATAAAGAGAAAAAGGGGGCACTATACCATTGATGTAATTAAAAGTATAATTAAAGTTAACTACTTTTATTTATCCTTATTGCCATGCTGACTAGCCCCATTAAAATTTATTATCTAAAGATAAAGAGAGATAAGGTTGGTACACTTTTTTTATTTGTTTTTAGGTCTAATGGATTAGCATGCTTTGTGGTATATCTAGGGACGGCCAAAATACTACTTATATATATATTCTTATAGCACTGAGTATCTATCTGATGTGTTTTATTTTTAGTCCCTCTAAGGCTAAATGATCACGTTGAAATCAAAAAATATTTTTAGATAGTTTAATCCTATGCGTCTTATATTAGTCTCTATTAATGATTCCTTGAGTTATGAAGTTTGAAACTATGAGATTACATTATAATAAGAAAATATATTCAAAGATGTACATATAGTGTTGGTAATTATGTTTCATTTAACTTTTATGAAACTTTTTTTTAAGTTTGTATAATTGTTTGCAATGCCATTTTACACTTAGGAGTCTAGTTGAACTCCTTGCTTCAGTGTACTGCCTTGAAGAGAGGGTTACTCAATTCTCACAACCAAGAGATGATGCAAATAAGTCCAACTAGATTGGCTGAGTTTATTTGGTAGGTGGAGGAAGATGATATTGATTGAATTTCTATGCTGACTGGTATTTGGGGTACTTCATAGTGATTGATAATGATCTTAAAAATGAGCACATCTTGAAAGATATTTACCTTTTAGAAAGATTCAAAGAAACTCAATATTAAAGGGTGAAAAAACAACATTTACATAATGGTTAGCTAAATGATGTAAGTTATTTTCTATTTGATGACACAACCAATTATTTGAACTCCTCTGGCCATGAGAGTCAATTTCAATGCGTGTCGTTGATGCCGATGTACTTGTGAGTATTGTTGTTGACGCATAGTGATCAATGATGAGGAACTTCCATCTATGCTTTTCAGTGATTATTTTTTCGGCAATGGTTTCGAGGACATGGCACTCATAAGCGTCATGGCCATGATTGTCATTATTAGAGACATTGTATTTCTCTTTCTCGTCTGTTGGTTCCTTCCATAGGCTTGAAGTAGTCTTTATTTTGCTTAATGGAGATGGTAGGGCTATAGGAAGATTGAGCCTATTGTGGTTATGTCAGAGAGAAGTATCGGTTGTCATGGTGGCTTCTTCTGTACTAACTATATGTTGTTTGTGGTTTGGTCGAACTTGGCAAGGATGATTAACATAACTTAGTTGGCTAATCAACTCTTCTCTCTTAGGGTTGTTCAAGGGGAGAAGGAATGTTAAGGAGAGGTGAGAGCTATGATCTCTTTGGCATCAATGTACTTAGATGCCTTTTGAAATTTAACTATAATATCGTACGAGCTTTTGTGCTAAGGCATACCTAAAAAGAGACTCTCTTAAGCCAAAGAATGAGAGCCATAGCGTGCACCGCAACCTACACCAAAAAGTTTAGCTTTTGGGAGAGCTCTAGGACCTTTGCTTGAATTATTTGGGCAAACTCGGCGTCATAAGACTAAAGTTCTTGCCAAGGTGGTGGGTTAACTATCCATTTTTGCGTAGAGGAAGGGTTTTTTTTTTTAATCACCCTTTATCATATTGGTCTACCTCAACAATCTCAATGAGTGCACTTAAAATTTGAATGGTAGAATCATTCAAGGGCATTCAAAATTGGACACGTGGACAAATGCATTTAGAATTCAGATTATGGTAATTTCAACTAGGGAGAAAAAAAACGTATTAGCCAAGCCAACATCAACACTAGGGGTAAAAGTGAGCCAAGCCTGCTAACTCGAGTTTGAGCTCAGACTCAAGTTCGCTTATCATATGACCTCAACCTTGAGCTAAGCTTGTCTAGACTCGAGCATTCGCTTAATCAATTTGATTATATCAATTATTCCATTATTCAATATCATTACTCGCAAGCCCTGGCGTTTTCTGCTATTCTTTGCAATCCTGGGTCTCTTGCCTGCTCGAATCACTGCTAGCCGCTTTCAAAATCAAGATTTTGAGAGCAAAACTGCCACAGACCGAGTTTGAGCTCAAGCTTGAGCCAAGCATACATTTCACGAGTTAAGCTTGAGTTTAATGCTACTCGAACTCAGACTCGTTACACCCCTAATCAACACATATGACACTAGATATTAATTGGTTGAATCAACTGACTTGACTTTAGTTGTCCGTATTAAGTCAATTTGGTTGATTAATAGGTTATTTTGCTTGATGAGGATAACTGAGGCCACTTAGTCCCCATAGGACTAGATCGACACCACCAGGTCAACATGGGATCAATGTAATCAATCATTGTATGGATCATATTTGGCTTGAGGACCATTAGTTCAGTTGGCACCACTATGGCTTCATCTAGAACTATTTTATTAATTCTGGCCTAAACTACACCGCTAGAAGGGCTAATTGACCTAGCAATGCCTAATTAAAGCCATATAGTTAACTTTGGGCCCACTTATCTCAGCCAAGTCAGTTGGCATTGAACTGGACCTACTTGGGAGCAATCGAGGTCAATTAAGTGGATTCGGTGTGGTTACTCGTGGCCTGTTAAGGGGTCAACCAAATCATCTCAATCAGTCGGCACCAATATATGATCAGTCAGGACTAAAGAAGCTCACCATTAGTAGGCTAATAAAAACCGCAGGAACGCGAACAGTTTCAAAATTCCACAGCTGGGTATGTTTCCATTAGTACAAGGAATAACTAATCTGCTGCCCTCGGTTTTCTATTCATTTTAAGGGGCTTTTACGTACATATCACACAATTCTTATGTATTTACATATCTAACGCCTGAACGGCTTTAATTGCATAGACAACATCCAAATCTTTGGCAAATACCCCTATGCTTAACTTTCTGAAAGTCATATACACCTTTTTATGCATATGTTTATGACAACAAAGTGTTATAGCTGCAAATATAAAAATTTAGGTGTTAGATATGTAAATACATAAGAATGTGGTAAATAGGTTACTTTCTCTTATTTTAACCATTTATGCCTTAAAGAGAGCACCTTCTTCTAAACAATTTAGACAAATTTGTTTTAGTACCCTGCTACTTTTCCTTTACTCTGCCTTGAAGAAGCACTGGCAGGGCATCACATGACCATGGTTGGACACTGCTGGGAGCAGCATAAACGCCATTCTCACTCAAAGCTCAGGACATCAATTTGATTCCCTTAGTTAACTGGACTTGATTCGATGCTGTCACTGAGCCTAGAAGACTCATGTGCCAGATCAAGCTCGGCTCGATAAATGGCTTGCGAGCTGAGCTCCATCAGCTAACAACCCAAGCTCAAGCCAACCCTGACTCAACTGAACAAATATGCTATAAATATCTTAAATTTCAAGATTTTATCTTTAAATTATTAGAACAATATATTTAAAAAAATTATATTTTATCTTTTATATCAAGTAATTTCTTATTATTTATCTTGTAATTGTCCGTCTTATTTTTCATTCTTTATATCACCAGCTTAAATTAATATTATTTTCTCTAATTGTTAATGAATAAGCTAACTTTTGAGCCAACTTGAATTTCTTGACTTATGTTCAAGCTCAAGCCACCCCTATTACATTTAGGGTTTGTTTGGGGCAGCTGCAACTTGTCCTGATAAGCTGACTGGCTGTTTGGGGCAGATATTTGAAAACAATTGATTTGCATATGATTGTAGATAAATGATCACTCTGCCCCTGTTAAGTAATTATGTTTGTAATTGAATTGTCTTGACAATATATTGATACTGCAGAAAAGAAAAATGTCTTGACAATATAGTTGATACTGCAGAAAATAAAAACTAATACAGAACAATAAAAAAAAAGATGGAACAGTCCTCACTTTACAGTGAGTATCAAGCTTAATAAAAAAGATATCCTCTTTCTTCCTTGAAACTACCACCTCACAGATCCATAGAAGCCTTGCTGGCGGTTCACCAATTCATGGGAATATTGTAATTTTTTAAGGTTATTTTTGTTCTCTAATTTTCGAAGTTTTCTATTAGAATTTCTATTGAGAATGTATAAATTATGCACATATTGGAATGAAAGCACACTAAATTATTCTCCAATTCTAGTCAACGCCCCTAATGAATAACAGAATGAAACCAAAATAATTTAATTATAGTTAATACTATCACCAATGCTGCAGCTTAATGATATTGCTGCTGATAATAATTGAAAGGCAAGAAACTGATGTACATCATGATAGAAATTGCATGGCATCATCAGTTAAAACCCATAAGAAAAAAAATAAATAAAATTCCATGTGCCCTTCTAAACAATAAAGAAGCCTGGGTTTTGAGGTTAGGATTGAGAGTGGATCGCTTTACAGCCCCTTCAAGCGGCTTGCAGAGAGGCAAACCGGGCTTGGGCAGAAGAGAGATCTTTAAATTCGTGGACTTCAGCTTCGAGGTTTGCAGAGGAAGGGCAAAGGAAATCGCGTGATTGAGAAGAGTCTTCTTTCCTCGTGCAGGCTAGGGATCGGTGCAAGGAGGTTAGGGCACATAGGAACGACGAAGATTAGCACAGGCCTTCAGCATTTGGTTCGCGTGAACATGAGAAGAGGTGGCTCGGGCAGAGAGGCAAATCGTGGCAACAGAGAGGAGGAAGAAGCGGTGGTGTGCGAAGACTAGGAGGAGGAAGGTTGCCTGTTAGGTTCGAACGGGGAAATTTGCGATCGTGCAAGGTTTGGGGATCCCGTCGAGCAAGGAAGTAGACTGAAAGGCACAGGAGGAAACGCCTCTTCAAGACACAGACCGCAGGGTCTATCCCTCGGCCGCGTCTATTAAATAAATGAAAACGGTGTTTTTTAGTAAGTTCTCTGAACACACTAATCAAACGGCATGGCGGCGTTTTGAAAACGCCGTCCTTATAAGTTGCCCCAAACGGACCCTTAAACTCTTATGAATACTATTTGCAATAGTACCTACATCATTTGCACACCAATCATCCCCCACAGTCTTCGTTGTTTTTTTTCCCCCCATAATTAGCTGTTTAATTCTTGAAATAACTCACCATTTTTTTAAAATCTCTTTTTTCTTCAGATTCTAAAAATGTTATTTATCTTTGCAGTTCTTTTTGTATTGCATGCCAGTTAAAACTAGAGTTTGTTCTCAGCCTTCAGCTTGTTGATCCCTGGGAGTTGCTTGCTTTTAATTTTAGCAGCCCACAAGGTACTCATCATTTCCTCACAGAATCTTTACATATATACCGCATAATTCATATGTTTTTACATATCTGATACCCAAAATTTGATATTTACACTCTTTAGTGTCATGAGCCTCTGTATAAATATAAAAAGGTGTGATACTAAAGATTTGAGTGGTGTACATGTAAATTTGAATGTTTAGATGTTTGATATGTAAATACATAGTAATTGTGTGGGATGTATGTAAATGCCCCCCTTTTTTGGGCATTTGCGTACATAGCACCCAATTCCTATGTATTTACTTATCTAACTCTTAAACTTTAGTTTTTATATTTCTACCATCCAAATATTTCATATCACATAAAAAATACTTTTGTTTTAGCTTATTCATGCATAGGTAATGTAGCATATATGAAAAAATTGAAGTTTAGGGGGTTAGATATGTAAATGCATAGGAATTAATTGGAATGTGTGTAAATCTTCCCTTACTTTTGTCAATCTGCTTCCTTAAAATAATTTGATTTATGATTTTGTTGCAGCTAAGATCATCATATTGAAAAAAGAAAATAGTTTGGTGCATCAAAAATCATGATGCCCCTTACAATAATGAACGGATCGATGGATGCTTTTAGCTTCAAGATTGGTGCAATCAAAGATTCAAATGGTACCATTGGATTCTGTCTTTGATTGTCATGAGATCTATACTCAATGTATGTGTTTTTGTGAATCTTGATGCAATCAAACTAATCATCATCCCTCTATCTATTTTATATCTTACAATCTTGAGGCAGTGTTTTATTTTATTTTATTTTTGGGATAGTTATAAGAATGATATGGTATATATGTAAATTAATCATAAATTAATAAATAATTAAGTATTTGGATTGGGGGGAGAGAGAGAATTCAATGGTCATATAGATGAAAAAATATTACATCACATAGAGTTACGTGTGGAGTCCAATGAAATCACGTCACACCACAAGTAGAAAAAAAAATCGGTCCGGTAACACGGATGAATATTCCCCGCTGTTATTAATGTGTTACTCTATATTATTCGTGTTATTAATGTGTCATTGTGTTATTATAACACTAGGAATATTCTCAGAACACAATAACACATGAATAACATACAATAACACCTGAATAACATGGGGGAACATTCTCGTGTCATTGCGTTCTGTGATTTTTCCACATAGAGGGAAAGAATTGTTTTATAAACATTGGCTTTGTGCACATCTACGAGTCAAATCACGTGGAAACTACCCAGTAGAGGAAGAATTTTAGTCAAAGTAGTGCTAACGGCTATATAATAAATAATAATTTAAATAATATTATTTATTATACCGAATTATTTTCCTGTACTTGGTAATACCTGCTCTAATAAAAAATAATATATGATTATGTTATTTCACAATTATATTATTTCAAATTAATAATGTGGCGAAAATTCTTATTTGACTTTTATGCTGAAATTGTATTTACATATCTAACCCCTAAATTTTCATATTATTAATGGTTAGAAATGATTTTTTTTAGTGAAAATATTATAAATGTAAATATTAAATTTCAACCGTTTGATTTGTAATTACATAATAGTTGGGTGGTATGCGCGTAAATTTCGATTTCCGATTTTTAGTAATTAAGATAGTGGTCCCGTACTGGGCTGTATCTCGGACCGAGCCCCAGAAAGCCCAAAGGGCTGGGCTGTCATCTTTGACTGCTGCGACAATTATAAGACACGTGGGGAGGGAATGCAGATCTGACTGCACGTGATTTTGACCGAAGGTCTTTTCGGTCTTCTCTTCTTGACCTCATTTTATTAAAAAGTTTATATAACTGTCCCTGAATAAATCAAATATTATTAAAAAAAACAGCTGAACACTCGGGCTCGTTTATATTTTGAGCTCAAAAAATGTCTTCGTGTTTTGCTTAACGAGCCGGAAAACGAGCTGTTCACGAACACATTGTCATTTTGATAATCATAATCACGTAGTCATAAGATGTTAAGGATTGGGGCAAGAATTAAAACTCCATTTGAATCTAATTTAATAAAATTTATTCTATTTTTTAATTTTTACTTTTAATTGATTATAAATTTTTGTAGCCATATAGTTAATTACTTTTTTTAAAACTACTACAAAATTGATTAGTAGTATTTCGAGTCAAAACGAGCCGAACACGAACAACCAAATATTTATTCATGTTGTTCGTATTCGGCTTGTTAACTTAACGAACGAGCCGAGCACGAGCTTCTCAACAAGCCGAACACGAGCTGTTCGCGAAGAACGAGCCGTTTTGACAGCCCTACGGGCTCCAAGTTAACCAATATCCCACTTGAAGACCGATACACATGCTACAACGTCTTCTTCCTCGAACTGATATCCTTCACTGACAGCGTCGCCCATTTCTTCAATATGTATCCTCCACCTTTGCAACTCAAACCTCTGTCTTCGATCCAGAAGACCAACTGAAGCTGTGCAAAACTTCAGTTTCTCAAGCGTAACACCCATAGTTAACATATCAGTAGGGTCAACATAGCTTTGCACCTCCAAGCTATTTCCTGAATTACTCTCGTCTCTGCTTACAATTCCCACTACATGAGCAATATCCTATCTTTGATGCAAGTCTTTTTCAACAACTCTAGTCTTGTACCTCTTACTGCTATCACACTCAGTCTTCACCGCACCAAGCCATAGCAATTTAAATTTATATATAAATTCATATAATATATTATTTTTGTGTTTAATATAATATTAAAATATTTATAATATATAAAAATTTTGTAATAAAATTAACTGAAAAAACCTAACATTTATATATACATTTTAATAAAAAAATTAGTGATGCTAAACCTGGTTAATTCAAAAATTTATTTTCAATAAATATTGTTTAATGAAATTTAATAAATTTTACTTACATACCGCACAATTCTTATAAATTTATACATCTAACCTCCCAAAATATTAAATATAACATTTAACCATTCAAACTTTAAATATAATATTTTAACCTTCAACCAGCCTCTTTTATTGTGAGAATTTTTTGTGATTAAAATATTATATTTAAAATTTATATAGTTAAAATGTTATATTTAATGTTTTGAATGATATATATGTAAAAAACTTTATATTAGGAACACTTTGACATTAAAAAATATTCATAAAAATATGCATTTCACTTATATTAATAATATATTGGGCTTTTAAATACATATTATCCTATACTTTTATATTTACATATATCTCCATTAAAATTTTTATAATTACAATTATCACATGAAACATTATACTATCATCTTTTAATAGTCAAATCTATCTAAAGTGAGATGCATGTCAAAATGAAAGTTTGGGGGTGAGACTCATAAGCATTGGGGGTTATTTATGTAAATTTCCCAAATGTTTTTTAAACAAAAAGGAACTATCCCCATTCCCCAACTACCATGTCTTCCTCAACCACACTGGTCTCATTCTCCGGCGAACCTTCTAATCTATAGCCCACCAAAGCTCTACCCTTTCCTCCCTAGCCGCTCTCTCTCTCTCTCTCTCTCTGCATATAAAACCCCAAACACCTCACCTTGAATCCCCCTCACTCCTCTCTCAATCTCAAACATGGCAGCAGAAGCACTCTCAAGCTTCTTCTTCTTCCCTCTCTTCTCCCCCTCCTCCTCCCCCTCCCCCAACCACCCGCCGCCGCCGCAGCCGACAGCAGAGGATCTCCCCGGCTGGGAAGGCTATGTAACGAATCAACCTCCTCATCCTCTGTATCATTGCTCTGTATGCGGAAAGTCGTTTTCTTCCTATCAGGCGCTCGGCGGGCATAAGTCCAGCCACCGGAGAGCCTCCGTGACGGGAGGGGAGGAACGCCGGTGGTCGTCTGCTGGCGTGTCGGATGGAAGTGGACCTCACCGGTGCTCTCTGTGTTTTAGGAGGTTTCCGACGGGTCAGGCCCTCGGGGGTCATAAGCGACTGCATTATTGGGAGCCGGCGCCGCTGCCGCCGCCATCGTATTCTGATATTTCGGTCAACGGCTGTGGTTTTGACTTGAATTTGCCGCCGGAGGATGAGGAGCCGAGGAGTGCTCTGTTGAGGAAGAAGATTAGAGTTTCTGATCATTAGTCTCTCTCTCTCTCTCTCTCTCTCTCTCTCTCTCTCTCTCTCCTCTATATATACGTTTTTTTTGTCAATGATTTTTTACATTATTTGTAGGGGTTGTGGAGAAACATAGTTTTTGTTAGTGTACATTTGGTTTCATTAATAGATAAAAATAATAATTAATTCTAATGATTATGGTAGATTTTATCATTAGAATTTATAATATATTATTTATTTGGACAACATCAGACGAACAGAGGTTCTACTTATGACCATTTTTTACATGCATGTAACCATATAACAGTGTTTGTTAGTTAAAGCATTTGTTGAATCTTTTTACGACACAGTCTCCTGTTGTTAGTAAGCGAATGCAACTTTTTGAAGACGTTGTTTTGTAGAAAATTATTGAGAGAGAGAGAGAGACATGGATGAGGATATTGAGCGAGAGCCTTAGGAAATAGATTAAATTGTTATATCTGATAACCAAGAGGAGCGTGAGGTTCCTTAAATGTTCCTTGAGTTATAAGACTTATGAGAGAGAAAGAAGTGAAGAGAATGATCTGACTTACTTTCTTATCTTTTTTCTCTTCCATTTTACATATAAGAGAAAAGACAATAAAATAATCAACATAGTACAGCTTGTTTTAGACAATGTCATTTTATGGTGTCTTGACGGAAACACTATGATATGAGTGTTAGGTGTTGTCAGGATGAAGCCCATTCTTGAAGAATGATTGAAAAAATTGAGTCTCAAGTGTGAGGCACCTTTTTTAATAATAGATTAATAAATGTTCTTACTAGTTATGATGACCTGCTTTGATAGGGGCCGCTAAGCTGTTCTTAAATGAGTATAATCAAACTTACATGTGGGCTGCATTCAATCACAACACGATTAAAAATATAGTATTAGCCTCGACTATTATACCTCTGAAAAGATTAAATGTTATACAAATAAATTGATAGAAATAAAGTAAAAAATATTTCGTTCGGATGTATGTTTGCAATTCTGGATGATTAATTATCGGACTTCACGTCAGTTGCTGATGAGATATATGATGACATGACTCTTGTGACTGAACGCCCCATTGTCAAGTATAAGGGAGGAATATTTTTTTTATTTTTATTTTTAAATGTTTTTTTTTGGAAATAAATGGCCGGCAAAAAGGCTATGCAGTAACCGATGCAGGTTTGCCTGAAGACCGAGAACAGTAACTGTAATTTTCTCATCGGCTCCGAGTTCTTTGGGATCTAAGCTCATCTCGATCTCAGGAAGACAGTGAAGGTTTGGTATTCGTTCAATCTCCCCTTGAGTTTCTTCTCATCCCGCGTTCCTTTCGATCCACTTTCTCATTACTTCCTGATCTTTCTGCGTTATATTTGAATACGATAATGGGTTTTAGGGTTTGTTTTATTTGTCACTGAAACGTTGCGAAGGATCGGGATCAGGGTGAGACATGGATTGCTGTTTGTTGGATTGTTTCTTTTATACACTTCTGTACTTGAAGGACTGTTGATAAGTCACTTTCAATATTGATATGCTCACGAATGGTTCGATCGGAAGTAAACTGCTATGCTAATTGTTTTTTTTTTAATCTGTATTTTCTAAAATATTATGTTTCAGACATGATGACGATATTCTGGATATTCTTGTTGTAGTTGTCTGTTTTTTATGTTTATAATTTTGGGTTTCGGAGCTTAAGTAAGGTGTATAAGCTCTCTCATTCCGCTCATAGTCTCTGTTGTTGTTTAAGCTCTAATTGCTAATGGAAATTTGCAGCTGGTGAAATTTTTGTAAGTCTACAACGTCGGTGTTCCATCTGCTGCTTCTTGTGTCGAGATGAAGAATCACGAACGCTCGGCAAACTTAGCTCTTCTAGGTAAGCTCTATAATATTCAGAAACAAGAATGTTTCAGTTTATATTATATTAATGAGCGTGGATCCGAAAGTGCAACGCACATATGAGGTGTTTTCAGTCTTCTACATGATTTTCTTAAAAAAAATTTCTTAATCTTTTTCCCGTGAATGTGATTTCTTCTGAGAGTAGGCTAACCACCTAGAAATTTTCACCTGACAAGCAACTCTCAAACTTCCGTGTTCTAATATAATATGTCCTGGTCCTTTATTAAGGAGGCAAAATCAATTAAAGTACATGCCCCGTTACAATCATCTAATGATTTATTTGCTGCATTTTGTTACTTCTTATTATCATCATTGTCATCATCATCATTATGGCCACCATCATCACCAAATAGCCTTATCTCAACTTACAGTGATTATTACTTCATGATATTTTTTATTTATCTTGTCTAGTGATATATGAGGCATAAACTTAACTTAATGATGCATTAAAAAGAATAGTATACTTGAAAGTACATGGAAGAGGGATTTTATTAAGATAAATGAAAAAAAAAATACATAAGGTGAGCGCGCATTCACTTACCCAAAATTAAAGGGACTTGCTCACCATTATTAAACTGGGTACTTTCACATTATTCACTAACCCATTTTTAAATTGGGAATTTACTGAAAAGAGAATTTGCTTGCCCATTATGATGGGAATCACTTACCCGAACAAGAGGAATCTCTTGCATTCTCATCCTTATGCTCCTTAAATAATCTCTGCATCTCTAAACCTTTTTTAATATCAATTTTGAACTCATTAACCATTCTTATGTGGTAGCTTTTTTAAATAGTTGGCGCGTACAGTTAGACGAGGTGATTGTTCAGTAATGACTAGTGGTTGGGAATCACGATTGCTATTCAATAGACTATTTATCATTTTTTCCTTCATTTACTTGACCTTGAGATGATCTATGGTGAAGCACCTCTTTGATCATGGCTAATGGACACCTAGGAAATTGCTTGAGCATAAAAATGGGAAAGCATGCTTGATATCAATTGATGAAAAGAGGTAGAATTTAAAGTCGAGGTGGAAGAGGGATTTGATTGTTATGAAGGAAAAAAATATATCTTAAATTAATGGGGATTCACTCATTCAAATATATGTAGAATACATCATATATTACTTTGAGCAATCACTCAACTTAGTGGGACTCCATCACTCATTATGTTGGGAAATCACTCAATCAAACAAGAGGTATAATGCACTTTGTCATCCTTGAGCTCTCTTCAAAACCTTATAGGCATTTTTATAATGTAGAAATTGAGCTGTTTAACAAACTAAATGAGGTTCTGAGGATGGATAGTTGATGTTCGGAGAGTACAACTAAATTAGGTGGTTGACAAGGTTCTGGTAGCTTGAAAGTGCAATTAACTATTTAGTATACATGTCATTAGCTATGGAAGTCTTTTTGAAGAGCTCATGGCCATTTACTCATGAAAAAAAAAAAAAAAAAAAAAAAAAAAAACTTAGCATTTATCTTTTTCTGTCTATCCCTTGTACAATCTTTTTGTTTACCCACTTTATTATTGTATCTACTATAATCATTTGTACATCTTTCAATCCTCTATTTTTTTTTATATTATTTCATGTTCAATAGATTCTACTCCAAACCTTTTTTTTAGCATAATTATCCTCTCACTTGCTTGTATACTTTTAGTCGCTAGAATCAACTTATCCATATTTATGCTATTTGATGCTTAATAATCATATTTAGTTACACACCACTCATCAACTTACATTTTTGTAATATTTTCTTCAAGTTCTCATCATATTATATTATTTTTTAGTTTTCTCAATGTGATTCTTCACTATATACACCAAACTTTCACTCTAAAATTGATATCCTAATTACTTCTCATATTTAACACACTCAAGATGCTTTAACTAAACTCTCTATTGATCTTCTTACACTATTGTCCATGTTATCAATTTTGCATTCACTAAAATTATATTTCATATATTTAGCTTTTGTTTTATAGATTTCAAGCTCTTTATCTTCAAAATATTTTCTCCATTTTTTGTACTTTTCACGTACTTTGGAAGGGATTCCACCAATCAAAACTAATGTCATTCTGAATAACATAATTTAAGGTATCTTTTCATGTATGGAGGGAAAAAAAAGTTGGTGGAATTTAAAAAATTGAGAGATTATTCATCTTTTATGATAAATTGCTAAGAATGTCAAATTGAAATTTTTAGCAGAGTCAAACTTGATGTGCATAAAATGATTAGTTTATACAAAATATTGTCATAAATGTTTTAAGTGAGTCTGAAGTATAAAATATATTGATAAAAAGACTTTAATGAAGGACGGGTGCAATAATGATGTACAAAGTGTTATAAAGTAAAAGTTAAACATTTTAAAAAGGTGGCAAATATTGAATAGCATGGAAGCTTATAATTATTATAAAAATGTTGAACTATTGCCTAGAGTAGCGAGCAAAATAAAAGTTTCAAATTTGATGTTTATGATAGGATTGTTGCAAAGGAAGGGAAAAATGAAATATTTAGAATCGCTAAGGCAAAGCTAAGAAACTTCGTGATTGATAAATAATTATAAGGTTACGATATTCAAAGGGAGAAATTATTAATCTTTCAAGATAATTAACGAAGGGAATTGAGATTCTATAGTTGAGTAAAATTTGATGTAGATAGCATGTCTAGTTCTAATATACTATTGTCATAGAAAATTTAAAAGTCTAAGGATGCCTGATGTTGGAGCAAGGAGCTGGAAGGTGTTATTAAGAAATATAAACTTTAAGAAGATGGCAAAAATTGAATATCACTGAAGCTTATACTTATTAAAATTGCTAAATATATTGAAAAAGTTAGTTTGTAAGACAGGCCAAATTATCATAACACTTAGCTAATGAAGATGAAGGAATCATCCTACACATTTTTTTAAGAACTTCCCAAGAAAAATTCCTAAAATTCATTCTTAATGTTAATCCACGATGTGTTCCTATTATGGGTGAATATCTTTTGTTGCCATCGAAACCTATTAGCAATGCTTACATAAACATTAATAGTTACTTCAAATATGATAAATGCACATTTTTTATTTTGTTGTCCACTAAATCAACTGTTATGGTACTTTATCATGTCTTATCATGATAAAAAAAATTCATTGGAAGGTGCTTTTGCCATCCTTTGTATTTTTCTATTAATTGCATGATACAGATGATCTGGTTACAAAATCGAGTTGATACTCCAACACATAAATATAGTTTTTTCCGGTTCTTAACGATTACTCTCCCCTTTGACTATTGTATGACTTATACGTCTGATTTTTTTATAAGAAATATTGCGATTCATTGTGCCTGGAATTTGTTTTATGCATTTTTATCTTATAATTCTTTCTGCGAAGCAACTCTCAGGATTTTATTTGGTGGTTTAATTCCCAATATGTGAATATTTTTTCTATTTACTTATCACTGTTTCATCACCTTGCAATTTCCATCATTAAGAGTTTATAAACATTAATATAATTTTACGCGTATACACAAGATAACTTTCATATGTAGTTTCATTGTACCCGCTCCACTTAACGGCCAAATTGTATCTGTGTTGATAGCTTATATTTTACTCATTTTCTCTCAGGTCTGACTTTGGCCCCACTTTTTGTTAAGGTTGATCCCAATCTAAATGTAATATTGACAGCATGCCTTACAGTGTATGTTGGCTGTTACAGATCAGTCAAGCCAACACCACCATCTGTAAGCGCCACTAATCTTTTCATAAAAAAATTTCAGTTATATATTGGTTTCAGATATTTTATTATTTTGTTTCTTTACCTTTTCATACAGGAAACAATGTCCAATGAACATGCCATGCGCTTCCCCCTTGTCGGCAGTGCAATGCTCCTGTCATTGTTTTTGCTTTTCAAGTTTGTTTCAAAAGAATTGGTCAACACTGTGCTCACAGGCTACTTCTTTGTGCTTGGGATCATCGCTTTTTCGTATGTCTTTTCTTTTTCTCATCAAAAAGTTTGTTACGAGATACTCATTTAGTTTGGGAAACTGTTGTTGCCATAGCTAAATGTTGGTTTTGCAGCGCTACTCTTGTGCCTTCAATTAAGCGTTTTCTTCCAAGACATTGGAATGATGACCTCATTGTCTGGCATACTCCATATTTCCATTGTAAGTATGCTGAGCAATATCTTTATCATGTTTTATTTGTCACCATGATATTCTGTCTTATATTTTTTTTAATTTGCATACAAATGAGATCAAGAATTCTTTGATAGATGTGTAAAATGCAATTATTTGGATTGCCACTTCTTAGAAACTTCAAAAAGTCATTTTCATTTCTTAGAAACATTTTTTCTTACAAACAACTTATGATTTTGATTGTTTACCTTCTTTTTCCTTTAATGGCTGTATTCTTTCGTAAATTTACGTTGGAAGGCAGGACAGCAATCGCCTATATGGGCTTATATAGTTTCACACACTTAGGAATTTGCAGTCCTAAATGGATTGGTTTTACTTTACCCATGCCCTTTTTTTTTTGCAAAGCGCTCTTATTGGGCATTTTTTTCCTTCTTTCTTATTTTCATTTTTTTTAATTGTATATGCATGTTTTCTTATAAAAAAAGTTGTAGTCTAGAAAGTGGCCATTGCTATAATGCTTTGAACTCCAAATATGCATCAAGCTATTTCTTAAGTCTTGATAACTCACTTGATGATGGTTGCAGCTTTAGTGTTGATGACCAAAGGTGTGCTTGGGACATATGTTTCACAGTTTTACTTTATAGACTATTAATGTGCTTTTGTTTGGCTACATTTTTCTTTCTATAAAAAAATTTTATGGTAAGAAGTTTTGCAATTAGATTTGTTCGATTGTTTTAGGTATTAGAAAGCTATTGTCTGCTTTTTGGAGGCAAAAAATCTATAATTTCTACACAACTTTTCGAAGACTCTATTTTTCCCACAGTAAGGTCATAATAAATTTAACAGGCATCTGCAGCCTTTCCAAATGGACCTTGAAACGCACTTCAGTTGGTCATAGTTCCTTCCCATTTTTAGGATGCCTTGTTTGACAAATGTAAGAGGAACTTGAGATGCTGCCCAGGTTTTCTTTTTTAATTGATAAGCCTATAAGCTAGTTCCCCCTTTGATGGATTTGGAGGTGGACTGGGAAATGCATGTGTGCAGTGTGCTTAGCCTAAATCATTGTTTTTTGGTAGGCTTTTATGCTATATATTTTCAAAGCAATTCACCACAGAAATATTGTAGGACCTGGAGCCAATTAAATTTGGTTTTAATTTGCAGCGCAGGCCTATTTGTTTATTAACTTGTGTCATAATTTCTCAAGTTAGACTAAACTTACATTGCTTTTGTGGTGATCGCTCCTTGCAGCATTTCGAAAGCTTCCAGAACAATGTTTTTATTCTACTTCCTTTCTTCTTCATTTGTGCCTGAACTGCTAAATCCTACTTGGAAACAGACCTATGGATTTACTTATGTGATTATACAATTTTCTTCTTCTTTTGACGCAGCTTTTTCAGTAGAGTTTACCAGGTCTCAGATTGTGGCCTCTATTCCAGGAACTTTTTTCTGTGTTTGGTACGCATCTCGGAAGCACTGGCTTGCAAACAATATTTTAGGGATTTCATTCTCCATTCAGGTTTGTTTTTTGCATCTCTTTGTAGGATGTTTTCATGATTATATATTTAATTTTTTATTTTAGGCCCCATTTACTTACGATTATTTCTAACTGAAGCATTTTAAGACAACATAATAAAGTTTCAGGTGTTTGGCAAAAGCTAAGTCAATTGTGTGGGAAAAGTTAAGGTGCACAAAAATTGAGAAATGCGGGTTATAAAAATTATGATCATGCTTTCTAAAAGATTAATTTTATTCAAAACAAAGATTATTTTATAAGGGAAAAGTTCCATTTCAATATTACCTTAAGAATTCCATGTTGTGTGTTTAATTTTAAATTATTGTGTTGTTTGTTTTTGATGGATGAATTTAATGAAGTGTTTTTCTTCAATTATTATTTTTTTATATTATTGCATAAATTATTCTATAATTTTAATTTTATGAATAAATTCATACTTATTGATTAACTTTTGAGATTATTACAGTTGATATTATTTTATAATAGCTAATCATGTATGTGCTGTCATTTACCCTTTCATATAACTGAAACGGCTTTTTAACCAAAGAAGTTCATATATCACAACAATTTAGAAAAATAAGTTAACAAACTAAATAGTCATCCATTTTACTTGACAACATGACATAAGTCCATAATTAATAATACAACACATGCATCATTGCCGCATGGGGACTAATATAATATATTTATGTATTGATTTTTTTTATATATTTCTTAAATTTTTTTTTTCAAAAAAAAAAAATTACGCGATACATTTTCTTTTGTTTTATTTGGGCCTTACATGGATTAAAGGAATGTGTAGGAAATATAGGAATTTTTAAGCAATTTAAGGATGATTGTGAATGAACAACAATTGATTTGAAATCCTTAGCTACATTTTTTCATTTTTGCTCCAATCATTAGCATCGAAACAGAGCCTTAGCATCTGCATGTTGCAGTTTTCTGTTACAAATGTTATACCGACATCAAGCTCTCGAAATAATTTGAAAACTTATTTTAGACGCAATGCTAAAAGGGCAATTGAGTAATTTATTATTTATTTTTGTGGGCTATAAATATGGCTAAAATGTTTAGGGTTAGGCTTATGATGAGATTGTTGTCTTGAGTCTTAGTATTAGGATTTGGTAGAGATCGCCTACCTCTCGAATTGTAGGTGTTTATCTTTACGTATATTTGTTATGTTGTTTTGTATTATTAAAATAAAGTATTTTGTTTGCACTAATTTATGTGAAAATTTGTCCCTTTTTTGTATCAAAGCTTTTATAAACGGGGTCACGTGTCTCCATCTTGATTGATCGTAGTGATTTCTCTGGGAAGACGATGAGATCGTGTCTCTTTCACTCGTTGAAGCAGTCGCGAAACAAGTCGTAATTTGAGCTAGCTGGTAAGCCGATGGGATCACGACTTTTTTATCCCTAAGTTATTGAAATAAAATATTTAGCTTGTTGTTGACCTCATTTTGAGGTTATTACTCTTTTCCTTAGGATTCTAGGATCTAGCTCGAGAGGTTCCTATTGACTATCTTAGAAAACAAGTATTGAAATCTATTCCCTTAGAAATTTCAGATACTTTCTATTTCTCTTGTAAAGTCTCGCACTGATGATCTCAAAACCATCGTCGTATGGTCGAGTGGTTAAGGACTATCATGTGGAGACTCAATGAGAAATTTCCAATATGATCTGAAGCCCTAAGAAAACCTCTTCAGGATTTCATCATCACACACACACACACAAAATGCACAAAATTCACTGAGTTGCGCAATGTCGGACTAAAATTGAGCTTAAAGGATAGGTAAAAATGCGAACTTCTCCGGACGACCTCCAATGACGAAATGGACTGCGCCAACGCGTCCGGGACACCAATTTTAGCTAGGAAAGACACTCATATTGTCATAATTCCGCACACGATCAAATTGCACGCAAATCGATAAATTCTTCTAAAAGACCTCCGACAACGAAACGGACCACGCCAACGCGTCAGAAACGTCAAAATTACTCAAAAAGAACATTAATTCTGGCTATGATTTGACGCACGAGTAAAAGGTACGAATCAAATTTTATTTTTGATAAATATCATATATTTTATATACTTTTATATTTATATCGTTATTTATAATAAAATTTTTAATCCTAAACCTTATTTACACCCTACCCGCACACTTAGCTCTTCGTTCTCGCGGCTCTATCAGCCGCAACAGCGCCTCTCTCGTGCGAGTCCTAGATCTCGCGAGCGATCCACGCGACAATCTTTCCCTCTCTCTCGACTCTTCTTCCTCCTCGCGTGGCCGCTTGACCCCTCGACTCTCCAATCATAAGAGCCCGGCTGCCCAACCCTTCTTCTTCTTGAGGCTTTACTTTCTCCTCCTTTATGGTGACGATTCACTCCCGTTATTTGATTCGACCACCTTACGGTGGTGGGTGGCGATTCCCCCCTTCATCTCTGCCTATAAAAAAGCTTCCTAAAGTACTGTTTTGGGTTGTTAAAAATTTTATGAGGGAAAGAAAAGCTGAGTTTCTTTTGCTAGTTGTTGTTTAAGGTTTTTAGGAGAAGACTGTCTAAATTCCTTCTCGGCTAGGTTCTTGTGTGTTGGGGTGTTCGTGGGTTGTTGCTTTCTCGAAGGTTTTGATAGAGGAGTTTTTACAAGAAGCATTTTTCTTAAATTTATTATAAAGTTTTTTTTTGCTTTAAGTCTGCATTAAAAAAGTATTCTTCTTACTCCTTTCTGCAAGCATTCAAAGGAGATATATAATTACCCTACTCTCATGCCTTGGTTTTGATATATAAGAGTATATGTTGGCAATTTTTTGCTGATGATTTCTTACATAGCGACATGAGTAATATTTCTAATATCTGTCATTTGGAATTACTCATGAATGCATGTTCTTTCTAATGCACTTGAAATTGGGAAATTAAGACTACTTTAAGATTTATTTGAGCTTAGCATTAAGAATGAGAATGGCTATAGGATTATGAGCTGGAACATAATCTATGTGGCTGCCTTTTTCTGCTTGAAATGCATGTTGGATGGAAATTTATTTTTTAAAATTTATTAGGTGCCTATTCGGAGGTTTCAGTTTTGCTCTATAATGCTATTTGAAGTACATGCTATATGAAATATTTGGTTCGAGACTTGATTCTTAAGCTCTCTATTATTGGTACTCTTGTTCAAATATATGTTGGAATTCATTTATGTTTATTCGTTCCTTGTTACCTGTTATTATTTGAAGCATATGTTGGGTACAAAAATTTGAAATACAAGGCTGTAAGAGATTTGAATTTGATAGCCCTATTTTGACCCATTTGTTGGGCTCGGTTTTCTTTGGATTGTTTTGAATATCAGCTGGACATTTTTGTTCTGTTTTCCCATTTGGTGGGCTCTGTTTTGGATGGATTTTAGCTGGAAGCGTTTTTTTTATGCATTGGATTCGTTTTGGCTCAAAAATTTATCTGTTGTTGGCTCTCTTTTGATGGGTTTAGTTGAGCTAAAATTCTGTTTTTGGTTTGCCTCTGTGCTGGGCTCGGTTTGCCCCTGTGCTGGGCTCGGTTTTTCCCGTGTTGGGCTCGGTTTACCCCTGTGTTGGGCTCGGTTTGCCCCCTGTGTTGGGCTCGATTTACCTCTGTGTTGGGCGCGGTTTGTCTCCTTTTGGGGTTTTGTTTTGGCTGGAATTCTTTTCTGCTTTAGCCCCTTTGCTAAGCTTGATTTAGCCCTTTCACTGGGATTGGTTTGACTGGAGGTTCTCTGGATAACGTTCATCTTGAGATTTTTATTGGTAATCAAGTTTTTCATCCCAAAATTTATGATTTCAATATCTATGATTTCAATATCTACTTCTTTTCAATATCTACTTCTATATGAGAATGTTTGATATAAATGAATCAATTCACTATGATGTCTTGTTTAATAAAATGGCTTCAATCTAGATAGTTTATGCGAGTTTGTCCATTCACTCTCTTATGTATATCAAAGGGGCATAATAACAATGCTGTGGTGGGTTTCCCTTGCTGCCTTTACACGTGAGCTTCCTAGTTGGTTTCCCTTTTGTCCTATTTGATTGTTCTCTACTGCCCCTATTCAAAGAGTGTTGGAATCTGTTTAGATCTTAAAGAATTTAATTTTAGATTCTTGGTTTTATCTCCTGATATTTCCTCTATTCAAATATATGTTGGAGCTCATTTTAATACTTTAAGAAGTTGATTTTGTGGTTCAGTTTTGGCTCCCTATTATGGATGCTTCTGTTTGAAACATATGAAGGTGATTTTATTTGATTTTTGGGGATTTGTGTTGCTCCCCTTGGTTGTTCCTGGCCGTGAACCTCCATGTCTTGGATTCTTTGATTATCTGTTGCTTGTTCCTACCCGAGAGCATCTAATTGTGATTTCCCTTATATTGGGCTCGGTTTTCCCTTTTGGTTGCTACCTCTGCTTGAGTAGGAGTTAATAACTTCTCTGGATGTTCCTGGTTGTGAGCATTTCTTGTAGTATCCTTCTGTTATGTTTAAAATGTTTCTTGTTGCCTAGGTGATGAATATTTGGTTGAATGTGCTATTTTGGGGCTGAATTGAGTTTCTTATGTTGTGTTGACTTGTGTTCCTATTATAGTTTTAATTCGGGCTCGGCTGGCCCTCCTTGGTGCCTTTGCCCGTGAGCTTGATGGCTGATTCTCTCTCTATGATCTTGGTCCATCCTTGGTACCTTGATCCGTGAGCTGAACCTGGACGTGCTTCTCCTGTTAGCCCTACTTGTGAGCCTATTTTGGGTGGTTCTCCTTGCTGCTCCGGCCATGAGTGTTTATGTGCGATCCTTTGGAAGAATTGGGGTTACGTGGCATCGGAACTTTTTTTAATTTAATGCGAAATTGAATATTTTGATGTTGGTGAAATAAAAATTTGTCAATGCTTAATGTTTAAAAGAATTCAAAATGTTCTTTTGCATGGAACGACCTGTTAATTGTTTGGAAATGATACCCTTTTTGGGTTGATCAATTTATAAAAGTTGAGAAAATGATATCCTTCTTGGATTGATTCAAGGATCTTGGGCTCTCTTTTTCAGGCTTTTTGTCACAGTTTTGAGGGTTGCTCCACCCTTCATTCTCTCGATCTTTTGGGTGAATTAATTCCTTCTCTCTGTCATCCCCATTTTTATTCTTTTTTTCATTGCTTTTTGGTTCGGTTTTCAATACTTATGTCTGACACATAAGTGTCCTTATATAGTCTTTTGTCATATATGAAACCATCAAGCAAAGTCGCAAGTAGGTCGGTTTTGTTTTGGGGCTTAGGGCGATGATGACAAAGACACGTCGGTGGTAAAGCGGAATGACATTCCATCCTATAATAGTAGGACCCACCCCTGTGATATGATAAATTGTAGGATGACAGTATCATTCACCGACACAAGGCTAGCGGGGGACCCGTACCTTCTTAGATTGTTGGCGATCCTACGTCTGATGCCGTAATCGACTCGTGAACAACTATATTTTTCAAAACTGATAAGAACTGATATGATATGAACATATACAATATTTATAAAAATATTTTCATTACAAAATTGATACAACTTTCTTTTTGTATTCTGAAATCCATGTGCATGTTAAAATATAAATTTTAAATGTGTTACAATTTGGCTGTCCACTTGTTGATTACCGATACTGGGCTAAGGAGTACCCTTCTAAATTAGATTTAGTAGGACACTCTTCTAGTTGAGTGGCGGGCTCTTTACATTCTTGTGGCATTCTGGTGACTGATAGTAGTCTTCGATGTCCCTCGAGTACAAATATATATTACTTGAGCTTAGTCCCGACCCAAGTGTTTGCGGTTACCTCTTTTCAGATTTTTCGTATGTTTTATTGAAATTTTTGAGTAAAACACTCGTGTTCTTTAACACGGGATTTTCCCGTGTTTTTTGTGACTTTCTTTGAGCTATTATTTGTCGTTTTTACTTTGAGATTTTCATCGTGAGTCATCTGTCGATTTTCTCGAATTTTCTTTCATCGTGAGTCATTTGTCGCTCTTTCTTAAGTTTTCTAAGTGATATTTCTTTTGTTAATGCAATTCATGCTAGTTCATTTCTTTAAGATTCCGTTACTACACTTCTATCTGCTACTGCTACTTTTACACACTATACCTTAGAATAAGAGGCCAGTAGTTAGTTTTATAAGAGGTACCCGTCAGCAGAGCATTGACTAAACAATTGCATATACATTTAAAATTAGCGTTGAATCCAGAGGTGCTACGACGAGGAGCTTGAAGCGAATACCGTGGGCAACACAACGAGGACATTCAGAATAGCAATGTCAAAACAAATTCATATCACTAATCACTTTTCTTAGTTTAAATAACAACCCATAGGATTTTGATGTGGTTTGTCTAGCGCAGCGTAAACCCTCATATGTCACTTTTAGGGTTTTGCATAATCCTGTTGTGCAATTATAAGTCCTAACACTTTAGGATTTCAATGTTACCGTACGGTACGGTGTAAATCCTCCAATTTTTTTAGACTATTTGCACAATCAGATATCGTGCGAACATAAGTCCTAAATTTTAAATAAATTGCAGGATTAAATATTAAACAACATCATTTCAAAGATATAAAACCAAACAATATGATAGTTGGGAAGTCATCAGGGTTCTCCCTGGATCTGTGATATCTCCTACTCTTCATTCCTTTGGATTTCTTAAAAATAATTGTTCCTATTTGGGTCATTCCCATTTGATTTTCTCATGTCCAATCTTGGAAACCTAAACTTTAAAATCTGGAAGGTAAAACCACTGATCTTAATCGAGAGTTTTTTTAAGTGACCCCGATCATTTAAGATGTAATTAATTATAGGGGTTTGCCTCTATAGGGAGCTTGAAACCCAGGTAAAATAAACCTTATGTAATCCTTATATTAGGCAGGGGAACTTGTTGGCCTCATATAAAATGTTTCGCAGACCAAACAGATATCATAAACTTTCTAGTTTGGATAGTTGAGTCTACTGTCAAATGGTATGTTTATTCTTCGGGATAGTGTATTATTTGTAGTATCGCACTCGGATGCTCAAATTATTTAATATGTGAGACTCGTTTGGTCTCATCTATTTTTAAAATCAAAATGTTACTTTTAAAAATCATATTTATATCAAAACTATTTTCATATTTTTCAAAAATAACGGCCGACGCTTGTCCTAATTTATGTGAAATCTATCCCGTTTCGTATCATTTTCGTATTCTACTAAACTCTATATTTAACATCATCCTATTTTTTGCTAGTGTGTTATTGTAGAAACAATTAGTTGCTTTTTACTTTTGCCTGCACGTGAAAGGCGTTTTGCCAAGGCCCAGTATCGTTCACAGTGAGAGCAAGTTGCTCACCTTATTCAAATTAAATGTCACTTAACTAAAGGATTATTATTTTAATGAAACATGTTTGCATATGCTAGCTTAATCATATCGAAGCATAGCTTTAAAAAAGAATTGTATGATTGAAAGGGCCTATGGCTCATTGGTTAAAAGGAGAAGGCTGGTTTTTTCAGTGGTCATAGCTTTGAGCTACCGTGAGTTTTATGATTTATCGCTTGCTTTAAAAAAAAAAAAGGAAAAAAACAAAAACAAAAAGATCTGTCATAAAAAAATTTAATAGTTCAGTCCAAATTGCACAGCCTTCATCACGTCTTCTTTTGAAGCCAAGTGTAAATCTTCATGTGATTTAATCCGTTATAAAACTGAAAATGTCAAAATATCAAATGTCCCAAGCACTGAGATAAAAATTTGGTACAAACCCATGGATGGTTGAACACGTGGGTTTTAGAATCCACCACATTATTATCATAACTAACTTTAAATTTCAACGAATAAACCATTGTTGGTGCTGTATATCATGTATTTTTCTGTCGGTGCTTTCTGGTTATTATTTTGTCTGCTTTTAAAGCTTTCTCTCTTTCACATTATTCCATTCTAAGCAAGTCATTCTGCATCTTTGTGCTGTGAAGAGGTTTCCTTGCTAAGCTATCATTGAGATTTGCCTTTAAGCGGATTCTCCATAATTGACAGGAGTTTTAATCCGATCATTTTATAGGTTTCATTATTATATTATAATCAGCTTAATCAGCATCGTCTCCATTTTGTATTTTACTTGCTCCTTTTTTCCATAGCACCTATCTTTATAAAATTCTGAATTTGCAATTCTTGCTCCACCTAACTGTATGTATTATTTAACCAAATGGTTGGAGATGCACGGTAAGCGTAACATTAACCAAGAATTTTATTTTAGCTTTTATGTATCACATCAAAGCCAGCTACTAAGTTTTGATGTGAATCTGAGACATTATTTTTAATAAAATTGAGTAAATGATATGCTACGATAGGGTTAATTTTTATTTGGTGAAGATGATGTCGTCGTCCCGGAGACCGCCGTTCTATAATTATTTTTCTTATTTTACTTTATTTAGTCACTTTATAGGTCATTCAATTATTTTATTTTATTTTATTTTGTAGGGCATTGAGATGCTATCGTTGGGTTCGTTCAAGACGGGTGCCATCCTCTTGGTGAGAAAAATAATTTTATTTTGCAAGAACTAGGATTGATTATATTTCTGCATGTTTTGAATAATTCATAAGCTTTCCTATGTATTATATTTTTAGAGAAACTATTATTTTCTGTTTTACATGCATTACTTCTCAGCATCTTTAATTTCTACTACCAAATTTCTTAATATATATATTTTTTTGAGTTTTTACTAGTTTTTTTTAAAATACGAGGCTGCAGGAAATCTGCGGGATTCTTGGAATTAAAATATGGAAATTATTTTAAATGTCAAACATTCTTGTTCCTAAAAATTTTTATGGGTACAATATTTTTAAGCCATTATTACAGGTGGAAGTTTTGTTGTTGCGGTCATCTTCAATTTTCTATTCATGTTTACATCTAGGCTAAACCATTGTTCCTATTTTAGTAGGCACATCTTAGGTAAAAAGTATTTTTCTGTTTAGCTGAAAAAAGCAAGATGGCCTATTCTGTTCTTTCTTGAACTTTGCTGTGAAGAAAAACATGTTTGTTTATCTGAATTTCATTCATTAAATGTGCATCAACTCTTATTGTTTTCACAGGCTGGGCTTTTTGTATACGATATATTTTGGGTGTTCTTTACTCCAGTGATGGTTAGCGTTGCCAAATCGTTTGATGCTCCGATAAAGGTTAGTATTTCTTTTGTATAAAGTTATCTTGCTGAACTTGCTTCATCTACTTCTACTCAGCCATTCTGCTAATCTGCAGCTTCTGTTCCCCACATCAGATTCTGCAAGACCTTTTTCCATGCTTGGGCTGGGTGATATTGTAATACCTGGTGAGAGTTTTATCGTTCGATACTTGACAGGAATTATTTATGGTGTTATTGGTAGTTGTAGAATATGTTTTAATTCTTTGCCTGATTAATCTTTATTTTGTAGCACAAAAGTGAGAGGTTTGCAGCTAGACTTGATTTTTTCTTTATTCCAGTTTAATCCATCGATTCGAAAGCAATTTGTCATTGCAATTTTGTAAGCACCCAAGTAGAATTGTTAATAAAGGTTTTAGGAATTTTTTCGGAGTTTCCCTAAAGATCTATTGATCAGTTTAAGGTACCTCCATCACTGTTTCTCTTTGTAGATGGTCTTTCTTGCTGTGGATAGCAAGTTTGATCTCGATTTTGGTATCCTAGATTTTGCTTCCTTGCTGTAGAAGACATTTTCCTCGGGCTTTGGTTCCCTAGGTCTGTAAACAGCAACAATTTTTCGTTGATTTGGAATTATTCTGCACTTGGACAACAGTCGTGCTTGTTTAGTTTCTCCAAACCTGCTTTAGAAATCGTACAACTCTTTTTTTTTCCCCTTGTTGCAGTCTTCGACTACTGGAATATTGATGCCTTTACGTTTCTTTACTACATGAGAAATTTCAAATTCTTGAAGAGAGAGAAAGAAATAGAGGGGGAATTGGATAGAATTTGGCGAGATTCTAATTACCTATTTTTGCTAGAAATTAAGTTTTTTTGAGGCAATTACAACAGATGATGAGATTTATGCAATCCTAATGAAATTCCACAAACTTAATAAATAATAAACTAGATAATCTTAAATTTAAAAGATAGTTATAACAAACTTTATCCTAATTCAGAAATAAATAAAAAAAACTTTTTCAAAACAATTTCGAAATTCATAATTAATCCTTATTCAGATGGAATCAACATTTTGGTCCAACAATTTAGATTTTTTGCATCCTGATATTGATCATCAAGCCTCCATTTGATGATTCTTCCCAGTCTGTAACTCCCACCATTGGCAATCTTCATTGAGAAAGAGGATGGTACATAATCATGAAATGACTTGATCTCAACCTCTCCTGTCGTTGATGCCCAAATTGTCCTTCACAGTTTGATGCCTAAATTATTTTTTAAAATGTAATATCCAAGTTCTGACGACAGCTTTTTTCTATGGATCTTTTTGAACTGGGCAATCAGATTGACTACCCCTTTTGTGGTTTAATAATTAAATCGCATGTCCTCTGTTATGGAGGAATTAAAATTTTAGAGACGAGGGAAAGATATTTGCCCATCTTTCCCAATATGTGATTTAGCTTTCCTTGATAACGAGCATTTCTTGCTAATGCAAAATGTCTCATTTAATCAATGTCCTGAAGGATTTAAAGCTCCGCATTTACTGCAGATACATCTTCATGTATGATAGCATTTCCATGTGGTAATTTGTCCCACTTCTAGAGAATGTTAAAAGACACATATTTGATTGATTTCAACTTCTCCTCTTACATGGTTTTCTGCTTGGAACTACGTAATCCAAGTGTTGCTATATATGTTAGAAGAAGAGCATGGTTGTCACCTATGCTGCCTACCCTGACTCTTTGTTGACATGGTTTGTAAGGCCCCTGGGATCATGGGTTCAAAGCCGCCTATGTGCGGAATGGAATTCTTAGGCACATTAAGTTAGTCGGGAGGCTCGTCTAATAGCCTCTGGCTAATCTTTTAAATAAATTAAAAAAAAGCATGGGCACTACTTCTTCATTAGTGATAATTTTTTTGCAAGGAATTAGAATAATCATTTCTGAAAATACATCCATGACCACAATAAGATAGATAGCCCATTTTGTCATTGGAAAACCCTCCTAAAAAATGTATGAAGACGTTTTCCTACAGATTGCTTGGTATTGGTAATGGCATGAACAACCCAAACTTCCTTTTTACGGATTTGGATGTTTTGCAAAGTAGGCATCCTCTAATGCACTTTCGTCCCATGTTTGGCCAATAAAATATCACTGCAGGTACTAAAATGTTTTCTCCACTTTAGCCAATAAATATCACTGCAAGTATCTGGCCAATAAATTATTAAAAGGTGTGAACTTTTTAGATGTCTTGAGTCTATTGTTCAAAGTGATGCTGATATAGATGAGGATGTTATTAGTAGAATTCAGGTTAGTTGGTTGAAGTGGAGGATGCATCAGGCCTATTGTGTGATAGAATAGTTCCACTTAGACTTGAAAGGAAAATTTTATAAGATGATGGTGAGACCAGCAATGCTCTATGGCACAAAATGTTGATCTTTAAAATAGAAGTATAATACAAAGTTATGTGTTGCTGAGATGAGAATGCTTAGGTGGATGTGTGACTTGACACTTAAAGACAAAATGCGAAATGAATATATAGGGTTGGTGTAGCTCCAGTGGCAGACAAGATTAGAGAGAGTCGTCTTAAATGGTTTGGTCACATTAAACGTCGACCATCGGATGATTTTATACGGAGATTAGATGTTTTAGATTTGAATTATGTTAACAAAGGCAAAGGTTGACCTAAAAAGACTTTGGTATATTGTATAAAAAATGATATTAATCTATTAGAATTAAATGAAAATATGACACTCACTAGGACGCAATGGAGAAAAAGCATTCATGTAGCCGACTTCACTTGGTGTGATAAAGGCTTATCATTGTCATTGTTGTTGTTGTTGCTTATAAGCTGCAATATTTTCTCCACTCTAAACCTCTGCATTTTATTGGACATGGTTTCCTTAATTGGTATATATAGTTTTCATCACTTTTAGAGATGGCCATCTCTAATAACATTCCATAGGAGTTGCTCTCTTCATGTCTTTTGTTACACCTTTGGCGAAGAAATTTTTCTAGCACTTTTTTTGGTAATCACTTGCATAAAGTGTTATAGGTGACCAACATAACAGATCGACCATTTTGTTGCCAGCCCCTTTTTAATTTGATTATGAACTTGATTTGTTAGAGGTGAGTTATCAACTCATATATCGAGTATGCTATATTCTTAGAGTGTTAAGTAACAGGTCTCTTATTTTGCATTAATACCATGCTTTATGTGTATTTATTTTCATCTATCTCCAGTTCTAATGGTTGCTCTAAATTTTACAGCGCTAGTGCATGGGTCTCACTTACCTTTCTATCTTGCTTTTGGCTTCACTATTTGTAGTCTAGGCCAAGTCCTAGATAAAGGAGGGATTTCTAATTTACTCACGATTCTTTTTGGTTGAAAGAGAGTTTGTACTATTGTAGTAGATGTAATACATTCCCCAAATACCTTAGGAGCTTTTAACATGTTTTACTAAAAATTTAGATATTTAGATAGATGATACTCAAAGTCGTGTTAGTATGGTTGTTGATCATCATTCACCTCTAATGAATATAGCTGTCATGATTTGTTCTGGGGCTTGGGATTAATCAAGGCGGGAACAGACGGCCGGACAGTGAGAATTTAATTTCATATTTATTTTTTATAACTAAATATTAACAAATGACAGAACAGTTAATTAAATTAAATTAAAACATTATATTTAAATTTATCTTGTGATTGGTTGTTCACGTCTTCTATCGCTCATCTTTTAAATTACTTAATTATACCTGAAAATTTAGTATAAAATAGCAATGAGCTAAATAACCCAGCGAGTAATCATACCCTAAATTACAGTAATATAATGAAAAAAAGAAAGCATTCAACTGATATGCGTATTCTGTCACATAAGCATTGTCTAAAAGTTATACTACTTGAGATACTTCAATATTAATATTATTTTTCATTTACGTGCATGAGTATCTTAGCGTTCATCTGTTAATATCATCATAAAGGGTAATTCTATCATAGCCAGCGATGTACATACATGCATACTATGAAAATTAGTATTTATTAAAAATACATTTCATTCTCATTTGTGTATCAACCATTATGCTTATAAATCATTCAAATGATAATTTAAATTATATTGTCACATATATCATTTCTATAACATGAACAAAACATTCATTAGAATTCAAAATCTCGAATTTGCAGTGATTTCGATATAACTAATGATAAAACTAGTGAATGTATTTGGCCTTAAAGAAGCAAAATATTACGACAGTATAAAAATATGAGTACTCATTTTGATGTTAATTAATTTAACTTGATGTCGATTCTTCAAAATTGGGAACCTAACATAAACATGATATTTATATTACAAAATTTTTAAAAATAAATTATTATTTTAATTAGTTATTAACTTTATGTTATTTATATACAAAATCTCCATATTTTACTTTATATAATATGGTTTAATTTTCTATTCTATAAATAAATAATATATATATTACTTTTATTATTATTAAATGAATTTAAGAAACATTTATAAATCTTGTTACTGAGCACGAGAGTTCGGCTTTGACTCGCACAAATTTCTTGTTCCCTTCTCCTTCTGGTTGAACACTCATGCACTTGAGATTCGAATCAAAGCACATCACCCTCCTCGCCTGTTGGACAACACTTGAGAGCTTCTCCTTCGATCGCGGCTCGTTACAGATGACGCCTCCTCTACTCGTCATCGACGCCATCTCCTCTGCTACGCTCGGGCCTCCCATGCAGGTGAGTTGCACCCTTTCTTTCCCTCTTTGCACGTAATTTGGTTCGTCTTCCTCCTATAAGAGTCACTCGTATCTTCTTCGACGGTCGATAAGGGTACGATCAAAGCCCCGATCCACATGAGAATCCTCTACACAAGACTATGTCGCCTCCTTTGCACCGCAGCAGCGCTCGTGAGGAACACCTCCTCTGCCTGACACCGATGCATAGTCTTCTCTGACGTCGCCGCCTCTGTTCAACGAAGTTCCTAGACTGCGATGTCCTCTTCTTTAGACTCTACATGTAAGTTGTCTTCTGCAATGATTTTTATCGGCGAACTTCACATCTTCGGCTTTCGACTTCTTCACTTCATCTACCATTTCTTTGGCTACTTGACCCTCTCGATTCATCTCCCTCTTTGCTCAACTCCTTGCTTTCACTCCCCTTGGTTTTCCTCATTTCCTCTCCCCCATTTAATAAAAACGGAACTTCACAATCTTCCCCACTTACAAAAATCTTGTTCTTCAAATTTATAAACAGTCTCGAGTCATTTAAGCAGGTCAACATTAGTTATTCATAAATTTTCTATCGGACGTCCCTCTTCTATAATTTTGAGTGTAACCCAATGCATGAATGGATATAATTATTAATTTAAGTTAACATAATTTTTAATTATTATTACAAAATGCGGAATGAATATATTCGTGATAGGGTTGGTGTAGCTCCTGTGACAGACAAAATTAGAGAAAGTCGTCTTAGATGGTTTGGTCATATTAAACGTCGACCATTAGATGATCCGATTAGGAGAGTAGATGTTTTAGATTCGACTTGTGTTAAGAAAGGCAGAGGTAGACCTAGGAAGACTTGGGCTTATTGTATTAAAAATGATCTTAATTTATTAGAACTAAATGAAAATATGACACTAAATAGGACGCAATGGAGAAAAAGGATTCATGTGGCCGACCCCACGTAGTGGGATTAAGGCTTTGTTGTTGTTGTTGTTGTTGTATAATTTTTAATTATTATTATTATTATTATTATTATTATTATTATTATTTGTTTATAATTATCATATTGGCTTTTCATGAAGATTACACTAATTAATCATAAACATTTGCTCTGATACCACTTTTGTCACGACCCGTCTCGGGTCTTAGAATTAATCAAAGCGAGAATAGATGATCAGAATTAAATTTTTCATATTTTTTTTATAATTGACCGTTAACAAATGAAAGAGTAGGATAGACAACTCATATGAAATCAGTTGGATGTTATGCTTTATGGATTACTTAGCCATAATTTGTGCACTTTTGGGAAGAGTGATGCGTGTTTTTCCAATAGTTGTAGATCTCTAGCCTTGCTTGATGCAAAAAAAAAACAAAAAAAAAAATCTTTCTTCCTTTCTTTATGATAGTCATGAAAAGCATAATTTGATTTTTTGTTGGCGGCATTTTGAAGCTTACCCACCTAGCTTGCCTTTTTACATCTATCACTCGCGCTCCATATTCATTAACAATTTCTTTAGCTCATCTTTTGTTTTGTGGCAATGGTAAGGATGGCGACTGTGCACTGCATACCTTTGGACTGTCAGTTTAATAATGGTTTTTTCTTTGATTTGTATCCTTGGGATGAAATGAACAATTCTTCTTGTGAGTCCACGTTAAATGATGAATTTATCACTTTATCTTTCAACATTGCTGTCAGAGATGTAGATTGTCCATCCTTGTCCACCATACTCATGATATTGCCCATCACAACATTAATAATCATACTTTCCCTCAGGGTGGCTTTCTAACATTTATCATTGGTATGATCGGATAAGTTTTATCACTTTTACATTGTTTGTTTTCATTCATAATGGTCACAGAAGTTCCCGAAGTCATGGCGGCTTAGTTTGAGCCGAGGAGAAAAATCACTGTCCTGTGTATTGTTCCCATACAAGTGATGTATGCCTTGTATTGGTTAATACTCACACCATAACCATGTTTCTTTGGTTGACCATTCTATTAGTAGTTGGAATCTTCATTTTGATTTTATTTTAAAAGTTATAGTCGCACCCTCATTTATGGCGACATGCTACCCCTCATTCTAACAATTGTTTCCCATCTGCCGACATTATTGGCCTAACAAACATTTAATCAGGGCCATGAAAGCAAAATAAAAAACGTGAATTGGATCACTAGTATTCTCTGTGGTGTTAGTGGATTACATCTTTATCCACCCTATCATTATCACTATTTATACTGATAACCAAGATTTGTAGATGACTCGTTTTTCCAGTCATTTTTTCTTGGTTTTGTTTTTTTTTTTTAAATTTTTCATTTTCCTCGTCTTTCAATGTGATTTTAGGACTATTAGAATTCTCCTATTATCTGAAATTTCCATCTCACTTCTACGATGCTCCAAGAATTAAGTGCTCTAATGCCAACTTGATTCTATTTATTACCCGCCATGAGCAGTTAGCATGATTAAGACATGTTTTAGGAGTTTTTCTAGAGGTTTTCTGATGTTCTATAAATCCAATCAATGGCAACCCAATCATTATCCCATCATATACGACTTATTCTCGCTGGTTTGGACTTCTTGTTGTATTTAACGAGCTTTATCTCTAGTTTTAGGTACTCCAGGTTTCATGTTCTTGCTATAAAAGACTTCCCTGTCAGGTTTTGACTCTTTACAGCTGTAGACTTGTGATTCTTCACTGATTTTGGAATGCAGAAAACTGGCTTGTCCTTTTGCTTTAATTTTATTCAACACTTCAAAGTTCTCCTACCTGCAGTATTCGGCCATGCCAAGGGATTCTAGGAGCAGGCGGCGGTGGTTCCAAAAACTCGCGCTATAGGTACAATGCCAAACGCTCTACAGTTTTTCGGGAACAATTCTGTCTCTGGAAAAGAGGGAAAAAAAAATTAAGGGAGAATCGAGAGAGATTCCGATAGCCTTTATTGCGAAAAATTAAGCCTTTTAATTGGCAAACTACACCCGCCTATAATATTTTGTCCAATCTTAAACAAACTCTACCAAAGAGAGAACCTAAATAACAAACTAGTTAATCACAAATTTAAAAATATAATTAGGAAGAATTTATCCTAATCCATAAGAAGAAAATAGTTATCCAAAACAATTTCAAAATTTAAAACTCATCATAATCCTACATTAAGTTATATTTATATCGAACGATATAGACTTCATATCTCCTGATTTGGAACACCAACCCTCTAATATGCGATCCATCTTTGCTTCTGGACTCTCATTGATGCCTTCTTTAATCTAAACAATGTGATATGAGAATCACCGCTACCGACAATCTCCATCAAGAATTCAGACGGGCATATAAATCTTCAACCGTCACAATCTGCTGATCTCTTATTCCCAAATTGCAGGGAATGCTACTTCTCATGGACTAAATATCCTCTTTTATGTTTTGCTGGAAAAATATGTATGCTTTGTAATCATAGATGTTATTTCAACAGTTTTTGTTTGGGATATTATTCAGGATATTGGATTCCATATCTTATTTATGTTTCAGGTATTTTTGTTGCTTTGGCATTGCGGTTTGATGTTTCGAGGGGACTTCAAGGTCGTTATTTTAACAGTGCTTTTTTGGGCTACACTGTTGGTTTGGTGCTTACAATTTCTGTGATGAACTGGTTTCAAGCTGCACAGGCAAGTATTCGGACTTTAAAAAAATTAATTAAAAAATTAAAATAAATATTTGGAGTTTTATGATGCTCTTTGATTGACTTACCTGCTTGTTTCTTAACAATTTTCTGCTCCAATCTCCTGGCACTTGCAGCCAGCTCTACTTTATATTGTTCCCGCTGTTGTTGGATTCGTAGCTATTCACTGCTTGTGGAATGGTGAAGTAAAGCAGGTCCGTCTCTCAACATATTTCTCACATAATGCTTTTCATTTTATTTTGGGGCATTTTTATAGATGCCTCCCAATTCCTATGTATTTATGTATCATATCTAACACCAAAACTTTACTTTTTATATCTATTCGGCACAAATCTTTCATATCACATCAAAATACGTCTATTTTATTTTCTAAAATGTGAAAAACACCTTTTTATATATGGGTGAGTTGGCATATATGTAAAATTGAAGTTTGTGTATGCAAATCTTCTTATAATTAAAAAGTACTCCATCTTATATTTGGAGATTTGTATATAAATTTGCATTTTTTTTGCATTTGTTTGCGTTAGTTGATTGCATCTTTGTTAGAAAATTCATTTATATGGCATATTTTTATATTTTTTTTCGCATTATATATAATTTTCAAATTATGTGAGGTTTGGGAAAATTGCTATCCTTTGATGTGTCCAACATTAAATCAGAAGTGGGGCTTGATATTACAGTGTTTTAACTGATTAACAAATCTTGTTAGGGGCATTTACATTTTTACCTCCTAATTCTTATGTATTTATATTCCAACAAACACTCATATTTACATGCATACCACTTAGTATTTACCTCATAAAAAACTCCACCATCACTATACTTTTAAAGGTGAAAAACACCATTTCATGCATTGATTTATGACTCCAAGATGTTATTAGTGTAAATATCAAGCTTTGTGTAATAGACATGTAAATACATAAGACACTTTTATATATACATATATGTAATAGACCTGTAAATAACAGTCTTAAAAAATTCAGTTATATATCTTTGATGAGTAGTATTTTTAAAAAATTTAATTGACTACAAGGCTACAAATATTTATAATCAATTAAAAGTATTAATGAATAAAATAGAATAAAAATTATTAAATATTAAATAAAAATTATTAAATTAGATTCAAATGATGTTTTAAATCTTGCCCAATCCTTAACATCTTATGGTTATGTGATTATAATTGTCAAAAAGACTGTTCGCGAACGGCTCGTGTTCGGCTCGCTAAGCAAACGAGCATAACACAAACACATTTTTTTGAGCTCGAAACACAAACGAGCCGAACACGAGCGAGCCCAGGCTCGCTCGGGCTCGCTCGTGTTCGGCACTTTTACACCCCTAGTTTTGAGATGTATATTAATCCCAATTTTTACTGTTTTTTTTTATATAATCTTTAATGCAGCTTCTGGAGTATAATGAATCTGCTGCTGCTGCTGATCTGAAGAGTGATTCCAATGAGCTGGATGGAGAAGGTAAAACCCGCAACAAAGATGAGTAATCCTTCTGCTTCGTTCTTCAATTAATCTGTTCTCAGCATTAGACAATACGAGGCTTAGATGTAATTAATTCAAAAAATTTCAGGATGAGCTGAAGATAATTATATAATTTTGTAATTTAATTATCAAATGCTTCCCTATAACAAATATGAGTATTTTTTATTTATTATTATTTTCCTGCTTCTATTTCATTTTTTTTCATGTTTATGCCGCGCAGATCATTCGTATTACAATCATCATTTAAAAATGTAAAATACATGTTTTCGTGCATGTCATGTATGCAAAAAATTGATGTTTAGGGGTTAGATTTGTAAATACATAAGAATTCAGTGCTATGTATGTAAATCTTTCTTTTATTTTATTTTTTATTAAATTAATTAACACCACCCACGATCACTTTTATTGGAAAAAATGTTATATCAGGACTCCGCACGTACGTAGAGTTACGTGCGGAATCCAATGAAATCACGTCACACGTGAAGGTCTGGTAATTCTAGGGAATATTCACCCCGTGTTATTCAGGTGTTATTGTATGTTATTCATGTGTTATTGTATTTTAGGAATATTCCCGGTGTTATAATAATATAATAATATATCAATAACATTTGAATAATACACAATACTTGAATAATGGAAGGAATATTCTCGTGTTATCGGTCTGATTTTTTATTGAGCCGTTAAGAGCATTAAATTCTGTGCGCACGTACGGTAGCGTACAAAATTTGATTTCTTTAATCTCACGGATTTTGAGGAACTCATAAAAGAGTAATTAATATTAAAAAAAATACGAAAATCCTGCAGGATTTTACTCCGTGTCTATTTTCAAAAAAATTAAATCAAAGTATTCCCAACTTTCAAAAAATATTTTAATCCTGCATGAATTTTGAAATATTTCAACTAATAAATATGCATGATTCAAATTCAAGATCTAGAGGTGTGAATCTAGCAAGCGTGAAGTCAAACAGATCGTCTCGATGAGGTGAGCCCAATGAAGTCAATATTGGTTTGATTCAGGTCTGATCAAGCCTAAATCAAATCGTTCAAGCGCAAAAGTATGCATTGGATGGGAAATTAAATGGTTAAGTGGATATAAAATATGACAAGTTGTAGTCAAATCAACCATCACATGGAACTGAATCTAGTGAGCTCAAGATCACTCGATTTTGCATCATTAAGGGTTCAAATGCTCATAGAATATAATTTGATCAATGGGATCTTTTTGGATCATTCGATGAAATGATTTGGATTTATCTGGTATTTACAGAGGATGTCACTCATAAAATTTATAAAAAAACACTTCGCCCTCTTTTTATGGAAAAATTTTTGATCGAGACCTCGGGGCGAAGGCTTATGCGAGCACCAACTTTTGATGATTCCCAAGCTCCACCATCGGTTGGCTGTCAACATCGAGCGCCACCGCCACTGACTACAAACATCAAGCTCCACTAGTACCGGACCGCTGCCTTCAAGCTCCACCATGGTCTAGCCACCATTGTCCAGCTCCACCTAGGGCTTTCAAAAAAGCTCGTTGTTCGTGAACAGCTCGGGTTTGGCTAGTTAAGTAGCTCGTGTTCGGCTCGTTCGTTAAGTGAACGAGCCAAATACGAACAAGATTTTAAAACTCGAATTATAAACGAGTGAACACGAACAGCTCTTTGTTCGCTCATATTCGGCTCGTTTTAGCTCGAAATAATATATATATATA